GCGACTTTGGTTCTACGTTATGGCGAATTTGCAGCGTCGAGAAAAAAAAGAAAAGAGAAATACACGCGTCGAATCGACGTGGCTTTCTTCCCGAAGTCGATAGAAGAATTCGTTTACGACCGATCTTTCGAGAACTTACTCGCGAATGTGATAAGCGGGCCAGAATGGAGAAAAAAAGGCGGAAAGAAAGCACAGGGAAGAACGATGGTTCGGTAGGACAAATCGGTTTTTCGAATCTGGAACGCGAACCCACTGACACGGAACCGTGACATAAAGTGGGCAGTGACACATAAAGGGCATATTTTCTGGCATTAGGAAGGTCCTGAGTAGCTACCTGTGTTCACGCTTGTTCGCGCTTTCCAGCCGAAGAATCTCCCGCACCGATCTTTTTCCACCAACCGCGTTAATGGGAAAATAACCGACGGATTACGTCGCCTAATCCACTCGTCAACGAGATATCGCATTGTTCCGCGAGACAAGAGGAATCTTGCGAGATTCTCGATCGCGCCTCGTCTCTTCTCATCGCCAAGGATCTCCGTGATTTCGAGCAGCGATCGCGTGTTTTCTCGGGAACGTGTATTTTCTCGAGAAAGCGAATCGAAAGGGAAAAAGGAAAGAAAAAAAGGAGAAGAGGGACAGCGTGGACGTATTAGACGCTGCCTGTCACCTGCGTATGCAACGAGCACGTACGTACGGAATAGCTTTCTAAAAATAATCGTCGACGATTCTAGTCGTCTCGCTTATACGCGATATGTACACGACCGCGCGAAGATAGCCGCTATCTCGACGAGCCGGTGTCCGATGTCGGCCACCAACGCGACCACCGCGTTGCGTCGCATCGTGTCCGTACTTTCGATCCCCGCGTGCCGTACGCGTCGCTTATTGTTCGCCAATATTCCTTTCAGAGATACGGTAACCGCGTGATCGCGTCGTACTCCATCGCGTAAGTACGCGTTTGTACTGAAATACGAGATACCCGATACGACCGGAACGCGGGCCATACAGAGATTCGTCCGTTTTCTCGCGAAATTTAACCCAAGTACGTATCGTCGTACCGCTACTGTGTGCGTAGTTGGAACGACGGTTCCGGGCAGCCGGCGAGCTTAAACGCGCAGAAGCTCGGGGAAAAAGATTGACGTTTCGTTTAACGAACTTTACGCGAGGTATATATAGGTACAGGTATACGCGTTTCGACAAGGTCCGTCAGGAAAGGTCTCTACTTGCATCGGAGCGTTGCTCGCGTGCCACTTACAAACGCATCGTCGCAAAGCCCTCTGTGTGCGCTTTGTTCGACGGGTTCAGGTGAAACCGTAGATACTTGACATCGTGGCGGACAGAGCGGTGGAACGAGCGTCGTTGCGAAACGTCGCGCTTTCGAATCTACGAAAGGCAGTCCGGTTTAATTTATCTGGATTTACACCGGTGAAGATGCCAACAGGCCGCTTGCCGACGAGTTTCGAGGGGCTGAACGAGAGGACAAACGGAGGATCGTCGAGTCGATTTTGCACAGAGCCATTTTGGAATGCAATTAAACGCGGTACAACGAAATACGACGCTGGTGCTGTGCTACCAGTGACGGTGCTCCGCTCCGTTCCGCTGCGTTCCGCTTTGCTTCGCTCCCTTCGTTTCCTCCCTCCTCCTGTCATCCTCCCATGATCCCATCGTGGCGAGCCTTCGCCCCGTCCCCGCTGCCTCCTACTCGTCGAGCTAGGAATACCTCCGTTTATCCAGGTACGAGCTCGCTGCTCGCTCTCCAACCGAGCGCGAGCTTTCTCTGTCGCGGCCCCTCGCAAAATCCAATCGTCTCACGACCATCGTCTTGATTAACCGGAAACCGCGTTTCCCGCGACTCGCCTTCGAAGCGGCAGGAATTTCGCGCCCAGCGAATTTTCCGGCACTCCGCGAAAAGAAGACGCGAACGCACGAAAAGCGACCGACAAGAGGAAGAAAACGAAAAGCACGAGGAAGGGGAAGCGCCGGGAATCGTTTTGATAAGAAAGCGCACCCCTGTCCTACGGGAACTGCGCCACGGCGTACAAAGAGGGTACTCGGGGGATGAAGGCGAGGGAGGGAATAGGAAGACGAGGAAGAGGAAGAGGAAGCGGAAGAGGGGGGAGAGAGCGAGCGAGAGAGAGAGAGAGGGGGCGGGAAAATGGCGGCTCGGAGGTCATCCGACACCAAATCGAAGGAGACGCCATCGCAAAGCGCGGCACCGCCCCTCTATCATCGGTTCTTGCCTCTGCGAGTGTTATCGTTCCGTCCGACGCGCGCTTTCCAAATTCCACCGACTTTTCCTATGGACGGCGCAACTCGCTGGATACGCCGAGATGTCTCGAGTCGAGTTTCGAAATTCTCTCATAACCGCGACTCAAGTTCCGATCCGTCGTCGATCCGAACGATCGGTCTCTCCTGTCCGATAACCGGGTTCGAGAGGAACCGCGATGAGACGGCGGCAAGCTACGCGCCAAGAAGCAGCAAAAGGCCAGGGGAAATCGTCGGAGTCTCGCGAGGCGATCCGTTTCTCGGCGGTGAAGTCACAGCTTCGGGGAGTGACGCGGTGGGCAATTAGTCGGAAAAGGCGGAGCGGATTCAAAGGATTGGCAAGGCGTGGCGGACAGGATCGAGATTTTCGTGGCCCGTTAAAAGACACACGTTCGTTTGTCTCTGCCAGAACATCGGCTTTCATTGATCTACGTAACGCCGACGGTGGTCCGTCAAGCTCGATGCTATTTTCATCCGCTTCCTGCCGACGGACGAGACAAGGTCCTGGCAGATCGCGCGATTCTGTTACACGCGTATATACGGATAAATATACGTATACGCGTCCGTACGACGCGTCGACCGCGTCGCCAGTCGCAAATCGCTTTCTCGATGGAAAACGCGTTTCGCCGTTTACGAAGCAACCCGGGTGGCGCGAAAGCGGCGACTCGAACGACGATTTTTCCATCCTGTAAATACACGGGCCGCGGGGTGGAGAGAAACCGGCGAAGCACGCCGGTAGCGAACATCGCGTTGGCCGATAACAAGTTTTCCGCGCGTAAAATCACGCG